GTGTAGTGTAGACGCGATAAATCGATCCCCGATCACTCTCCCATCGACTGCTGAACTCCAGCTCGGCAAGAGGTGGCAGCAAAGTCGATGGGGGAGTGGCGGCCATTGATCCTGTACCGCGAGGACGCGAAGCAAGTGATTCTAAGTCGATCTAAGATACGTCGACTTCAGCTACGCTATTCTCGTAGCTGAAGTTGAGTATCTTAGATCGATCTCTCCCTCCCCTCCCCCCAGTGTAGACCAGGTCTGAGTCTTATGCTTCTGAGAGTGCTTCCAGGATTCCCAACGACATCCCAACAGAGAGTATGTGGGGTTGAATCTCCTGCTCCTGAGTCAGATTTTGCAGCAGAAGATGCACTCCTTACTGAATTAGACCAACATACAACAGGATTCCATGGCCTGGGTCTGATCTGGGCCCTCCTGGCCTTCTCCATGAGGTATTTGCAGAGACAAAATTCCTGCCCTTCTTGGGTATGGCTGGGGAATGATGGGCAGATACTGCACCTCACAGTGATGTGGGCTTCCCCAAGGTAATACAAGCAGCACGATGGTCATTGCTGACTCAGAAGGTATGCAGGCACAAAGTGAAGAGTTTGAAGCCCAGAGTCCAGGGCATAGTCTAGTACTCGAATGGAGTACAGGGCTGGGGGGAGATCCCCTGAGAGACTAAGTCTAAATATCAATAAATCCATAAAACATTAACCTATAGACTATAAAAACTGTAAAACCTATTTACAAAACTAAACCTAATTCTTATTTTGTAGGATGAAGTCGAAGCTACGGACACTGGAGGTTCCCACCCGGACCATGCGGCGGTGAGAAAGAACTTGAGAGGCGGTTGGTCTGCCCCACCCGCACTGATGCACGGACCAACAGGCACTACTTTCAAATGCTCCGGCTCCAGGTGCATGGTGCTCACACGCGACCCACAGTGGAATACAATAGGGACCATCACTCAAAGAAGAACTTAGGACTTTGCAGAGGTATACATATAGTTATTGACTCAGCACCACTGAAATCAGTGGGACTTTTAGTATTGATTTTAGCGGGAAGATGATCATGGCCGTAGTTAATTGTATCAACATGCCACCTTTGATGTTAACATTTTTTGCCATTTTCTGCCCAATGCCCTTACAGAAAATTATTGTGAATGTGGTGGCAAGCCAACTCCAGCATCATGCATAGGAGCCATTGCTTAAAACCAGTGAATAAAAGTTAATGCCCTTTGGTGAATGAGGAGGGAGATAGACTAGATGCCATAACAGGGCTTTTCTATCTCCAGTTGTATGGTCCTATGAAAAAGTGTGGCACCATTCTCTTTTCAAGAAGCAGTAAAGCCTAGCGGACACAGTGGCACCTATCCAGTTATTGTCACTTCATTTCCTATATAAATTACACTCAGAATATAATTACTCAACTTGCAATGTCACATTAACATTTGATTAGAGATTGAAAATAAAGTCAAATTAGCAACATAACAGTGTGCAGTTGCCTTGAAGCAATAATTTGGTGACAAAGAGATGAATTATGCTGATACAAGAAAGAGAAATGAGTCAAATGGTTAGTTGGCACTTTAGATGAATGTGAACTGGCCCTGTTCATCATATCAGACACTGCCCTAGCTTAGGGATGGGCTAGAATAGTAGTTTAAAAAAAAGAGACATCCAACAATTTGGTAGATGGCATGTCAAAAACATGTGCACATACTTCGTTTGAAGTAGGAGCCAAAGATCGGAAACTGTAGAGGGCCCTAGAGGCAGATTTTTGCTTTACAGATAACTTTGGTACAGAGATGATTAAATAAACTGGCTGCTATTTATTCTAATGATGGCTCTGCATATTAAAATAAAGTACTACTGGTTGGAAGATGCTACATGGATTTCCAAATCTGCTATGTATTTGTGAGCTGAAGAACTTTGAATAAAGTCCTGTTCAGTCTTTTGTTGTCTGCTACAGAATCCAGATTGCAGGATTTAATGAACAGTGTCCTTCCAGCTGAGGAAAGCTGACTACTGCTCCAATTTCTCAGCAGGGAGCTGGTGTTTCATCATGCACTAGGTATATTACATTGTTGTCTAAATAGGCAAGCCACTATTTAGGCCATATGGCAGCTTTCATCAGCTGAAGGAGGAAAGAGAATCACAGCAATCTAAATGTTTTGGACAGGCAATCTAATCTTTTCATTTTTTTGTTAGGTGAAATGGACATGATATTAGCATGCTGGTGTTATTTCTTTTTTTATATTCTAAATGCATCAAGAAATAATTAAACTATTACCAATGGGGCTTTAATGCTTAACAGAGGAATTTTTCTGCTCCTCAACTTTATGGCAATTATCTGCAAGCCAAGGATTTTCCCTCCCTACTAGTAAAGGACTGGATAAAGGATTCAGTCATCAACTTTCCTAATACACCGTTCACAGAACTGGAAATACAATTTCACACTCCTGGGTCCATTGTAAACTTTATCCACTATTATTCTTCTAGTTCAGAAGTCAGTGGGAATTAGATTTTCACTTAGCTATCTCCACAACAGAAAGGGAGAGACAACGTTTTATACGATAAGGTTTGGTTTCTTGAATGTTGGGCTTCAGTATTTCTGTCTCTCTTTTTTTTTTTTATTCCCTGCAAACCTCGAGTAGGACCTACCTTATAATGTCATCAATTTCTCACTGGGGCATTAACTGTAAAACCATGAAAGATTCTGTACTTTACTTTAGGTCTTTTTGAATAGACTACATACTATAGTGTCAGCCATGAGTATCCAGATTACAATCTGAATGTAGCTAAGGCAGTCTAAATGAGTACTGGTTTCCATTCTCTACAAAAGTAACTATATATATATTTGGTCTTTTTCTGGTCAGTTGCACTTTCTGGTTCTCATGTGTGAGTCTCGTAGTACGTTCATTGTCTGATTTTGCTTTGTTTTTTAAAGCCAAAAATGTTACATTTTGGTGCCAAGAGTTAGGAACTTAAATGTATAATTAGGTGTCTAAGTAAGTGACCTGTATTTTCGGAGATGTGGAGCAACCATATTTGACTTTGCTTCCATTGTTCACAGATTTTTTTGTTGACGCCATGCTCAATACCTCTCAAAACCAGGTCACTTATTTAGATGTCTTAGGGTTAGCTTCAATCTTAGGCATGCTAGCTTGAAAATTTTGTCTTTAGATTGTAAACTCCTCAGGCAATGACTTTGTTTTTCTGCATTTTGTACAAGGCTGAGCACAAATATTAAAATACTACTAATAAATAATATTAATTATAAATAAAATTATTCTAATTGAAATCAAACATCTAATGAAAACATTTCTGTTTATATTCAATTTTCTTAAATTCTTCTTATACACAATGTAAGGGCCTCCTCGCTCAACTAGGTTTAAACTGCAAAATTCAGATCTGGATCCTGAACACTCAACAGTTTGGATCTGAGTTTTCCTTTGGCCCATTATAAAGAAAGGTGTCACTTGCAAAATCCGATTCTGAGCCCAAACTGTAAAGGTGTTCTGATATTCATTTGTGTCCACTACTAAAACTACTTTTAAATACCACTTCTAGCAAGATTTGTACATGTCTGCATAGAAGTGAGGGCCATAATTTGTGCTGAAGAGCATTTGATGTTTATATACTATCGATCTTTAAGATTTGATCTAATGTGGAAAAAAAAATCAGCTGCATGTTTCTGACAATGGCCTGACTTCCATATCTTCTTCCAATAACACAAAGAGGTTACCTGAAAAAAAATCACATAAAGTTGCTACTTCTGGTCCCACGTGTAATGGGTTCCATTTTTAAAAAACACAGCAAAATATGGTATACAATATCACACACAATACAGTGACTAGTCCAAATCAGTCATGTCAACACAATTGCTGTATAGTTTGTTTAAAACTGGAAGTATATTATCAGCAACTGTACACAGACACTACTTTTAAAAATCCAGCCCAATGTAGCTCAATTGAAAACTATATTTATATGCATAAGTTGGTTTGAGGACAAAGAATGTCATCAAGAAAAGCATATAAGCATGAGTTTATCTTTAAGTATGTTCATAGTCCTGCTGACTTAAATGGATCTACTTATGTGCTTAAAGTTAAGCATGTGCTTAAATGCTATGCTGGATTGGGGTGTATACCCTGAAAGCATTAATTCTCCAATGCCTTGAAATTTATATAGTAGTTTGCCCTTGTGTAAAGTGGGTGTAAAACCCTGTCACATTACCCTGCAGAGGTGTAAATGACAAGGTGCAAATCAGTGGATAACCAGGTCCTTAAATGGCAATTTCTTCCTGAATTTAGAGGTACATTATACTATGATTGCTTAAATGTACCCCAGTAAAAATGTGCTACCTACAGTGCACCCAGAAAAACAGGAGTGACAAAATATAATCTAAAGTGACTCAACATTTCCCGTGGTATTATTTTCCACTGTACTGACCTAAAATATACTGACAGTTACGCTTCTGAAATGGGGAAGAAGTTTATAAATAATAGGTAGATCAAAATAGTTTTGCCTAATTGGTCTTCACCAGGCTGAAGTGAACAGAAGATACAATTTATTGGATGTTCAAGTATGGAAGGACTACTGTTAAAAAGATAGTCAATAACTTAAGAAAAATAAAATATAAAACCCCCACAGTGTGCCATGAGATACACAGAGAACAGTATTATTGTAAATAACCAGGGGAGAAAGTAAGATGCCATAAATATGTTAATGAATAGTCTATTTTAAGCAAATTAAAATGTCAGCAGGCACAAAAATCTGCTTTATTTATACTGGTACTACCCTGATAAGGCTGTCCAACAGAGTTGGTGGCATTTCTCTGACTTTGCATAAATTACACAAAATATATTTTGTCTTCTCTCACAAAGCTAGGAGCTTGTTCACTGGATACTTAAACTTTGAGCCAGCCCTTCATAAAAATCAGGTATGCATCTCTTTCTATTGGTCTTATGTCTAGTTCCTGGAAATTCTCAGAATAAGATGACAGCAAACTGAGATTTTGAGCAATTTATGAACCAATAAAAGGTAAAGTTCACAATCTTGGCCATGTGACCAGTGGAGAGCCTGAGAAAATAGAAAAGAGGTGTGGAAGGACCAATGTAGGAGAGGAATTAGAAAGACACAGCTGAATAGGTATCTTAATCGGGACACAATCAGTGAACACTTGAACATTTGAAATTTAAGATCCTTTCCAGCTGCAGACACAGAGAACATCATTAAGGAACCCTAAAGGGTTAAAATTATTAATAAAGTACCCTGTCAAATAATGTATAGATATGTATCAGACTGCATTCTTTTGTATATCAGTAATTAGAAACTATTTAATGAAGAAACCATTAAAAAGAAACTATAGAGAAAGTGGCTTTGGTTTGAGGTTTTATAGCAATTGGTCAATATCGGATTCCCCTGGGTTCGAAAAGCATATCTGTAAAAAGGACTATAGTTGCTTGGAATGTGTTTCCTGGGATTTGAATAAAGGACAGATTTATATAAACATAGGTAGGGAACCAGTTGGAGAGGACACCAGCTAGAGGCAGTTGGCTTGGGGACATAAGGCCTGATCCTGCTTCAGTGGGAGTTTTGCCAGTGATTTCAATAAGAGAAGGATCAGGACAATGGTGAGAAAGCAGCCATTTGTCCATGAGCAAGAAAGCAAATAAAACAACAACAGAGCACTGAACTGGCTCCTGGAAGTATCTGTTCTAGTAGGTACTAAAGAGGCTATGACTAGAAAAGTATGCTTGAGCTCTCTCTCTCTCTCTCTCTCCTTCTCTCTCTCTTTTTCCTAATCCAGAAATATAGATCACAATCCAGCACATAATTTAAGCATAAAGTTAAAGTTAGGCACATGCTTAAGTACTAGCCCTGATCCAGCATGGCACATAAACACATGCCTAACTTTATGCTTAAATGATGTGTTGGATCAGGGCTATATAACAAGATTCTTTCCAGTAATTACATATTATCCACCACAACCCCAAATCCTTTTCAAAATCACTGCTTCCCAGGATAGAGTACCCCATCTTGTAAGTATGGCCTATATTCTTCATTCCTAGATATATAAATTTGCATTTAGTAGCATCAAAACACATATTTCTTTGCTTGCACTGAGTTTACCAAACAATCCCAATGAATCTAAATCAGTGACCTGTCCTCTTCATTATTTACCATTTCCAATTTTTGGTCCATCAGCAAACTTTATCAGTGATGCTTTTAATGTTTTCTTCCAAGTCATTGATAAAAATATTAAATAATGTAGGGGCAGGAACCATTCCTTGTGGGACTCCACTGGAAATACCCACTCGATGACAATCCCCACTTACAATTATATTTCGAGATCTATCAGTTAGCCAGTTTTTAATCCATTTAATAAGTTAATTTTATATCATTCTAGTTTTTTAATCAAAATGTCAAGTGGTACCAAGTCAAATGCCTTTCTAAGTATGTTAAGAAAATGCTATTACTTCTATTAACCAGACTGGTAATTGAGGCAAAAAATGATATCAATTTAGTTTGACAGAATCTATTTTCCATAAACCCATGTTGATTTGCATTAATTACGTTACCCTCCTTTAATTCTTTATTAATCAAGTCCAGTATCAGCCACTCCATTATTTTTCCCAGGATCAACATCAGGCTGACAGGCCTAAAATTACCTGGGTAATTACTTGGGCTATTGCATTTACCCTTTTTAAATATTGGCACAATATTATATTGGACATCTGTTGAAAAATAACACAGCAGAGCACAGATTATACAAGTTGGAGATAATTTTTTATTTCAGAAGGTGGAGAAAACTACTAGGGGAGAAGCTGTTATAGATTTGATTTTGAGAAATAGGAAGGAACTGGTTGAGAATTTGAAAGTGGACGGCAGCTTGGGTGAAAGTGATCATGAAATGATAGAATTCATGATTCTAAGGAATGGTAGGAGGGAAAACAGCACAATAAAGATAATAGATTTCAAGAAGACAAACTTTAACAAACTTAGAGAATTGGTAGGTAAGATCCCATTGGAAGCAAGTCTGGGGGTACGTCTATACTTACTTCCTGGTCCGGATGTAAGCAATCGATCTTCTGGGATCGATCCCGGAAGTGCTTGCCGTCGACGCCGGTACTCCAGCTCAGCAAGAGGAGTACGCGGCATCAACGGGGGAGCGTGCCTGCCGTGTCTGGACCCGCGGTAAGTTCGGACTAAGGTACTTCGAATTCAGCTACATTATTAACGTAGCTGCATTTGCGTACCTTAGTCCGAAGTGGGGGGTTAGTGTGGACCAGGCCTAAGGGGAAAACTAGTTCAATAAATTTGGCAATTTTTCAAGAAGACATTATTAAGGGCACAAGAGCAAACTATTCCATTACATAGGCAAGAGACTACTCTGGCTTCACCAGGAGATCTTCAATGATCTGAAACTCAAAAAAGAGTCCTACAAAAAGTGGAAACAAGGTCAAATTCTGAAGGATGAAAATAAACAAACAACACAAGCATGTAGGGATAATATTAGAAAGGCTAAGGCACAAAATGAGATTAAAATAAGACAAAGTAGGCCCGTTACTCAATAACAATAACAGAAAATGTGGAAGTGGCAGTAGTGCTAAATGACTTTTGTGTTTCAGTTTTCACCAAAGAGTTTAGTAGCGATTGGACATCTACCATAGAGAACGTAAGCTAGAAAAGTTAGATGTCTTCAAGTCGCCATGCCTTGATGAAATACATCATAGAATACACGAGAAGGTGACTGAAGAGATATCGGAGCCATTAACGATTAGAACATAAGAACAGCCATACTGGGTCCATCTAGCCCACCATGTTGTCTTTTGACAGTTGCCAATGTCAGATCCGTCAGAGGGAATGAACAGAACAGGTAATCATCAAGTGATCCATCCCCTGTCACCTATTCCCAGAGGCTAGGGACACTTCAGAGCATGGTTTTGCGCCCCTGCCCATCTTGGCTAATAGCCATTGATGGACCTATCCTCCATAAGCTTATCTAGTTCTTTTTTAACCCTGTTATAGTTTTGGCCTTCACAACATCCTCTGGCAAAGAGTTCCATAGGTTGATTGTGCATTGTGTGAAGAAATATTTCCTTTTGTTTGTTTTAAACCTGATGCCTATTAATTTCATTTGTGTTATGTGGAGTAAATAACACTTCTTTATTTACTTTGTCCACACCAGTCATGGTTTTATAGACCTCGATCATATCTCCCCTTAATCGTCTCTTTTCCAAGCTGAAAAGTCCCAATCTTTTTAATCTCTTATCTTCAAAAAGTTA